AAAATCAAAGTTGAATATATATATATATAATTATATAATTAGGACTGTCGTGTATTGTATCATAAGCTTAGATTGACATGACTGAAAAGTTTTCCTTTTGCTTTGACAAACTCCTCAGCTAAACAAAATTGGATGAGGTCTGTCATTGAACAAGCCACAAAACAAAAGGCATAGTTTGAGATGAGATGACAAGTCACGCTCTCTTCATATATTGGTGATTCACGTAAACGTTTACACCTTCTGAATTTTTTTTGAGATAGTTTCGTATATGAAATCCTCACAAATATTAAATGGAAAACTATGTTAGACTCTCATGTGCAGTACTATTTCTGATAAGAGTCATTTTGATATCTGATAGCTGCATTTTGATCATTCAAAATCTCATAAATAATTATAAAACTACAAAAAAAAAGAAAAAAGTATAATCCTAATTCCTTATGGCAATCTTTTTTCCGAGCCTACATTCAATTGTTTACGCAGAAAAGAAAAGATGATCTATACATGCTACAGATACTCTGATCAAGACATTTCACTGCCAACATACGCAGCATTGAATTAATCACCATAAAAAAAAGAGCTACAGGTATAAGAAGGTGAGGGAAGTCGAGGAAATAGACAGACAATGGACATTCTGTCCGTAAAGATTGTACTGATATCACCATATCAGTAGTGGTAGTAGAAATATACAGATCGGAGGGCACTAAAGTTGCAGTAGCAGTAGCAGTACGTACATTGCAGGAATTATATGCTACAGAGAGAGAAAGAAAGCCAAAATAAGTTGTCCATCAGATCGAGCTGGTATCACCATATCATAGGAATGAGTCGCAACCAACCTCTCGATCTGTGCTTCTTTTCAAATGTCTCGGACTTTCCATGGTCAGCTCCATTTGCAATGATGATATTAGACATGATTGCATATACTACATCGTGAATGATGTCGATCTCCCTTCCATAAGCAGGAAGAGATAATTGTGAGTTGCCACTCCAAAACCAGAAGACGTTAGATGGTGGAGACGTGAGCATGAAAGGTAAGTTACCTCAAAGCTCATTGATGTCTTCTTCTTCTTCAGCAGCCGACTAGGTTTGTCTCGAAGGTGCAGGAATGCTTGATGTAGTTTATATAATTGCCACCTCGGCCATCTTTGATGGAAAAAGATGGAAAGTGTCTGATCATGGGCCAGTCTGCGCCATTTTGGAGGCATCTGAGGAGGAGTTGGGTGGTTCCGTAGACGTCCAGTCTCTGGAGTGTGGTGAAGCTTGCAGGGCAAGCCGTCAACCACTCAGGTAAATGAATGATGAGAGATCCAAATGTGCCCAACTTCAAGAGCTCCAGTGCAGGGAGATCAGAAACAATCTCCAGATCTGATTCACCAATTATACTCAGTTCTTTCACAGAAGGGAAACCTCTGATGGACTTGAGAGCACCCACATCGGTCAGATCCAATGTGGTTAAGCAAGTTGCCTGTTGGATCAGGCCTTCCGGTAGAGACTTCAACTTGGGGCAATTTTTGAGGACCAATTTGTTGAGGCGACCCATAGCAAAACCTTCCGCTACCCAATCCCACACTTGCATGTTAATCATATCCGCGAGTCGCAGCTGCCTTAGTCTCGGAAACAACATAAGAGGGGGAGAAGAAGAAGAAGAAGAAGAAGAAGGGCGCTTTGAATTCCGTTCCCGTTCATGACCAGAAGCAGCAGCAGCTTCACACCCAAAAAATTAGTGTCATGTTTAAAGCAGGCATGATGCCAAAGGAACTTAAAAGTATCATTTATGTTTAAGTAACATTGATCCTCGAGGAGCTTAAAAGAATAGTCACACAAAATAAAATAAAGCATCTTTTATGTTAGAGGCAAATATGATCCTAAAAGAACTTAAAAGAAAGTGACACAAAATAAGGCATCATCATGTTTTAAAGCAAGCATGATCCTAAAATAACTTAGAAGAATAATGACACAGAATAAAACATCATTATGTTTAGATGATTGAGATGCCAATAGACAAAAGTAGGAGATGGACAAAGGGATGAGTGAATGATTGAGATATGGAGGGAGTAAAAGAATTTCTCACTTGATCACTAACAAATACAGAGGAAGTATAAAAGATACAAACAAGATCACTAACGGATAACATATGACTACGAGATCACTAGTGGTTAGTATAAGATGGATACTACTCGATGGTATAAAACGATACAATGCAAGCTCTATAATGGATAATTTTTTAAACTGGAAAGTAATTTAGAGTGGACACCGATAATAACCTCGACTGCCAATACATCAAATTGTAAACCTCGAGACACATATATAACATGTCTGAAAATTTCTTCTACTTTAATTAGTCATTAGATACTCTAAAATATTCTAGAAATACTAGAATGAGCTCAAGAAGCCCACACAGACATGCTTCAGCGAAGATCTACATATGTCAAATTTTTTAAATTTTTTTTTTTTTTTTTATAAATAGATGTATATATCCTTAATTTATAACTTGGTTCTAATAAAATATTTTTACTCTTACCTATAATTTATTTTTCTCCTTTTTCTTAATCTTTTTCTTCTTCTTCTTCTCCTCCTCCTTTAAATTATCAAAGGTGATGTAAAATGACAAAAAAAAAGATAAATGATGAAACAAGATGAACTGAATATCGAAAAAAAAGATATGAGAAATATTTTTTTATGTTTATTATAATAAGTTGATATTTTTAAGGTCATGTATACTATGTAATTATCTAGAAAATACCACATTCTTGATTCATTATATTAACCCATGACCTTACTCGAACAGAATCTGCTTTATAAGCTCGTATAACTATTACTTCGAGTACTGAGTAGATAGGCAACATGATCTAGTTGATGACCTATGACCCTCATTATATTAACACAGAAGATATCATATTCTGTGTCTTTACAAATTACCTATTATATTTCATGCCTTTACAAATTACCTAGTAAGATGCACAGGTGGTGGAGAGAGTTGACATTAGCGGGGTGAACAAGCAAGATTTGTGAGAAAAAAAAAATATATATATAAAGCTACGAACGGAATTAAAGGGGTTGTGAATAGTATAATATTATTTTTATTATTTTTTAAGGGGTTATAAATAGTAAGGGATTGCAAATAGTAAGAATAAGGTTTTAAATAGTAAGCTCCAAAACATTATGTATATATATATATATATATATATATATATGTTTAATCGCAAAAATTAAATAACATTTGACTATTAGCTGTAACTATAAATTACACATACCCTTTCAAGACTTAGAATGATTAATAAAAGTATATATCTTTTAGTATTTACATATTTGTTTAATTTTTCTTAATCAATGTTAATTATAATGAATTATGATTAAAAGATTATTGACTTTTCTAATTTTAGATACAGAATTTTTTTATCCTTATAAAACAAAAAAAATCTTACAAATATGTCAATAAAATTAATCTCCCCTAAATTAACCATCAGATATAATATTGTTGGAATTTTAATTGACATCAATATCCATGTAAAATATATTACAAATATATGCCTTTTAAAATAATATTTATGATAATCAAATAAATGATAGTGATACAAGGTATTTTAGATAGTAATACATTCTATATTAACACTAGTTTATGAGAAAATTTTCTTAGATATAGATTATCAAGCTACTTAGATGATAATCACTAGATATCATTGAGGAAGGTAAAGATATTGTATTCTAGAGAAGTGGCATGTTATTTTTGTAAAGCTATATTCACTTGGTCTTTAAAATGATAGCATATTGTTGCTCGATCAAGTTGTGAAGTAGAATATATAGCAGTTTCTTCTTGTGTTTATCATATAATTTAATTAATAAGAATATTCAAAAAAAATTTATATGTCTCGGGGGGACAAGTTAATCAAGATTTATGTTGAGAGCTATTGCCTTAGCCAAAAATTTAATCTACCTTGAAAGATTTAAGCTTATCCTATTCTTCCTCTATTTGAAAGATCTAAGTATATCGACACAAGATTTTATTTTATAAGTGACCATATCAAAAATAAAAAGTTAGCTATATCATATCGAGACATGTGAACAAGTGGTCGATATACTTACAAAACCTCTTAAATTTGAAATAACTTAGCATATTATATGAAATAAGTTAAGAGGGGAGAATGTTGGAATTAAACTTGTTCATGCATTGTAAAGAGGTTAATTGAATCAAAAGAAAGGTTCATTGCATCAAGAGAGATATTCATTGCATCAAGAGGAAAAATGGATTAAACTTGTTAGATGGATCAACTTTGAAAGAAACTTAGCAGTTAGATGGATCGAGTTTAAGGGGGGAGAGTGTTGGAATTAAACTTGTTCATACATCGTAAAGAGGTTAATTTAATAAAAAGAAATGTTCATTACATCAAAAGAGAGATTCAATGCATCAAGAGGAAAAATGTATTAAACTTGTTAGATGAATCAACTTCAAAAGAAACTTAGTATGTAAGATGAATCAAGTTTAAGGGGGAAAAATATTAGAATTAAACTGGTTCATGCATCGTAAAGAGGTTAATTTAATCAAAAGAAATGTTCATTGCATCAAGAGAGAGATTCATTGTATCAAGAGGAAAAATGGATTAAATGACTATGGAAATGATAAGTCAAATTGACTATTGATTCTAGAAAAAATTTATTATTTATTTTGAATATAATTAATGTAATGTATCTTTGGAGACTATATAAACCTCATATGTTGCTCACGAAACACACAAAGTTTTTAAAATTGTAATGAGTTTTTAAGAGAAATATAGAAGATTTAAGCTTATCCTATTCTTCTCTATCTGATAACTCAATCCCTTTTTCTTATCAAGTTCAATAGGATACAAATAGTTCATGCATCGAGAAACGCTCTATCTAAAGATTGTCATTGTCATTGTCATTATGGGGACAACGACGAAGAAAGGTATGTGATATCCTACTTATCTCTGTTCACTCTCTATCTAAAGATCGGATCCAATATGTTAGAGGGCCTCAACTTCCTCCGCTTTGATTTGGTGTTTCCATTGTGTTCTTTCAGCTCCAAGAGAGAGAGAAAAAAGGGGGTTTGACAACAGTGATGAAACACAGGACTCAGCACAATCATTCGAAGAAAATTGCATTTATTTGAAGCCTAATCTGCCTCATCTTTTCTTTCTGTCCATTATTGAGAATCACGAACTTGCTATTTAGTACCATCAATTCAGATTCTGATCATCCACTCAAGAACAGAACACAAAGCCGATCCTCCTTCCTTCTTTTTCTTTTCTTTTATCTTAAAGTGGTAAGAACAGAAAACAGTATTGCTTAATGAATCCTCCAAGAAGGTACAATTTCTAACATATCTGTGTCCTTCACATTCACCTTCATATGGTGTGCGTGTCCCAAGAGTTCACGGAGACGGATCTTCTCAGGGATATCGTCACCAGCGCCGGTGGAAGTCACGGTGGAGCACAGAGCCGGACTTTGCTCGAGCCCATGGTGGAGGGTCTCCTGAAAGGGAACAAGTTCTTGCTGGTGTTGGATGATGTGTGGAGGGCTGAGATCTGGGACGACTTGCACCGCAATCCTTTGCGAGGAGCAGGGTGCTGGTGACCACCAGAAACGAACGGATCACGAACCAAATGAAGGCGGTCCACGTCCACAGAGTGAGTCTACTGCCCCCTGAGGTTTGCTGGTCCCTGCTGTGCAGGAAGGCCACGACGAACGCAGACGAAGAAAGGGATGCCCAAAACCTCAGAGACATCGGCTTGAAGATCGTTGAGAAATGCCAAGGACTTCCCCTGGCCATCAAGACCATCGGAGGGGTTCTCTGCACGAAAGAACTCAGCAGAAGGGCATGGGAGGAAGTTCTCCGCAGCATCGCGTGGTCACAAACCGGCCTTCCCGAAGGCGTCCACGGAGCTCTGTATCTGAGTTACGAGGACTTGCCGGCCCATCTCAAACAGTGCTTTCTCTACTGCGCCTTATTCCGTGAAGACTACGCGTTCGTCAGGGCATGCATGGTCCAGCTGTGGATAGCCGAGGGGTTTGTCCGCGCAGAAGGCGATCTCACGTTGGAGGCGAGAGGGGAGGAATATTTCAGAGAGCTGATTCGGAGGAGCCTACTACAACCCGACCCCCACCATTTGTACGTCGGCTGGAGCTGCACCATGCATGACCTGCTGCGATCGCTCGGCCATTTCTTGACAAGAGGCGATAGCTTGGTGGTCATCGGGGCGGCAGCAGTTCTCCACTCGTTTTGCACGTCACGAACGAATGAGATCCAGACCGTAAGGTTGCGATTGTAGAAGGCTCCTATGAAGCAGCTCTCTATGATATTGCTCCCCTGTTTCCAGCAAAGTAACATCTCCTCGTGCTTCGACAAACCCCTCGGCTATCCATAATCTTACGATTGCAGACATGTGGAACGCACAGTTTACGCGCAATAAGGCACAGTAGAGAAAGCATCGCTTGAGATGGGCCGGAAGGTTGGTAGCTCAGATACAGTTCTCCGTGCACAACTTCGGGAAGCCCGGTCCGTGACCATGCGGCGCTGTGGAGAACTTCCTCCCACGCACTTCTGTTGAGTCCTCTATCGCGGAGGACCACTCCGATGGTATTGATGACCAGGGGAAGCCCTCCGCATTTCTCAACAATCTTCATGCCTGTGTCCTTGAGATCTTGGGCATCCCGTTCCTCCTCTGCATTCATCGTCGCCTTCTTGCACAGGAGGGACCAGCCATCCTTCGGAGGCAGCAGCTTCATCTCGTGGACGTGGGCCGCCTTCATTTGCCTCACGATCCCTGCGTTTCTGGTGGTCACCAGCACCCTGCTCCCTGCTGCTCCTCCCTGCAAAGGATTGCGGAGCAAGTCCTCCCAGATCTGAGCATCCCAAACATCATCCAACACCAGCAAGAACTTGTTGGTGCGGAAGTAGAACACCTTTCAAAGTTTTCTATGCTAATGCTCGTGGATAATCATTATATTTCCCTCAAGGAGAGCTTGCTGGTGTAATCTAAAAGCATTAATCTATTAATGATTGATATGATAGCTTGTTTGTTGTCATCATAATGATTAAACTTAGCATGAATTAAAGTGATTTGACAAGTTGTGAGTGAAAAATATTTTAAATTTGAGTTTTGTCAAACATCTGACTTAATGAAATGTTTTTTTGGATATCAATCAATTCCTTCTTTTAATATGGTGTTTTCAAATATCTTTTTATCAGTTATTGCTATTAAAGTGTTTTAATAGTACCCATTTTTAAAGGTGATTGTCCGAAAAAATGATAATTTTTTAAGAGATATTTTTGGAACATTACAAATAGGGGGGTGATTGTATGAGTATTTTGAAAAAGGAGTACCATATAAGAAAAAACGTAATAAAAGAGTATTTCCCAAAACAATCGCTCGATTATAATTCAAAATTTATATTCTATATTAAATTAAAATAATTTAAATTTTATAATTATAGATTTCAGTAAAACATTCTTTGGCCTCTTTTCTTTCACTCTCTCTCTCTCTCTCTTGACTATCGTATATATATATA